AGGCACGGCGCACACAATCCGCTCCCCCGAGTGCACTCAGCAGGCCGGCGCCCAGTCACCCCTGTGCCCTCGCAATGGGGAACACAAACAATCGTCGTCGCGGACCATCGGTGCCCCTAGCGGGAAAGAAATTAGAAGAAATGGAGGCATGTCAGCAGCACAGTCAGCAGAGAGACAATAAAAGGGACACGGAGACACACAATGACATGGGTCACGGCACAGACGGAAAGAGACGCAACGATTTACCAAAAAAAAAAACATAAAAAAGAAAAAAAAAGAAAGAAAAAAAAGAAAAAAAAAAACGATTTGGCGGGAATTTCATTTCGTTTCCTCTGGAGTACAATACGACCGTGTTTTTGAGTTCATACATACTGTCCACACAGAAAAAACAAAAAAAAAAACACATTGTTCCACGAGCCCACACAACATTCCTCACATTCCATGCGGCATCCGGCCTGCTCCTCCACTCCTCCTCTCGTGCAGTCCGTGGGACGCACGGCAATGAGGCCGGCACCGCGTGTGGGTAACAAAAGCAAAAGCAAACAAGAGGGGGAAACACATCGCTCATGACGGTGCGCAGCAAGCGACCATTTGGGGGAAAACACACAGGGGTGCTGGTTATTTCAACAGAGCACCAGCAAAAAAAAAAAAAGAAATGAAATGAAAAAGTAAAAAAAACAAAAGAAAAAAAAAATGAAATGAAAAAAGAAAAAAAGAAAAAAAAAGAAGTATTCTTGACAAATTTGAGTGCGTAGTGCTGGGAAGCTGCACATTTGTTGTTCCACGAAAAGCCGCAATTCCACCCTCCCTCACACCTCAGCAGAGAGCCGCAGTGCCCCACAGCCCCAGAAGCAACAACAACACCCGAGACACACACACATGCACGGTGCTGTCACCAATTAGAGCCATGGCCGCCAACTCGCGGAACTCAAGCAAAATGTCGTGGTCCGAGGGTATTGTTGCGTTGAGCTCCGATGGAATCTTGGTTTCCCCAGGCGCTGTGCTCGGAGGAGCCGGTGCGGCATCAGCGCCACCCGACACGTTAGTGCTGCTGAATGAATCGGGGTCGCTGTTCGTGCCCACGCTCTCCGAAACATCAGGTGAAACGCTGTGCGGCGCCTGATCATCGGTGTTGCCGATCCGCGGAGATTCTTCATCTGCCGTGTCCACCTGCCCCATCAGCGGTAAATCTATATTGGGAGGAAAGTGCTCCCCACTGAAAGGCATCTCGGTTCCAATTAACTCATGACTGCCCGCGTTCTGCGTTTGTGACGATGCAGACGCCAAGGCACCGCTGTCGGGTGCCTCTTCTTCCACCTTTCCCACACCAGCTGAGGTGGAGGGGACAATGATATCAGGAAATGTTTGCTTGAAATCTGCTGGGCCACTTTCTCTTTCTGATGTTTGCGCTGGTGAGTGTTGAATTCGTGGTGATGATGTGGCGTCTTGCTGCGCTTCAGGCGTGATGACGGGCACATTGGCGGGATGACGAGAAGGTTCACTCACATTGGTAGTTTGAGCCGCAACTTCCTGGGCCGGCACCTTCGCCGCTGCAGCAGCGAATGCGTCCTTCTTCATTAACGCATTGAGCTTTGCTTCGTTCAATGCGCGGTTGTACAGCAGGACGTTGCTCACCGTCAAATTAATTCTTCCGAG